TGAAAATAGGAATGTAAGAATCGATATCGATGAAATTAGCTGCCGTAAATTGTTGACCATCAAGTCAAACTGTTTTTCTTCAAACTCTTAAGCAGTGTCCGCTATGAAGAGGTTCAATACCAGCAAAAACCGTTCCGCGGGACCGTGAAAAAGTGTCCACTATACGGAGGTGTCCACTATGTAGAGGTTCGATTCCAGCAAAAATCGCTCCGTCGGACCGCGAAGTGTCCACTATACAGAGGTGTCCACTATAGAGAGGTGTCCACTATGGGAGGTTTTACTGTAGTTTGAAATTCCTAGACAAGAATGGCACTTTCGTGTTTTGAAAACAATTATCGTTTTTTTCTTCAATTAGTATAATTAGTCGATAATTTGACAAAAATTCGTTTTATCTGATAAAAAGGTATTGCTTACTGTGAGATATCATATATTATAATAGTGTATTCTATACTTCTGTTAGTACACGACAATTTCTTTTTTTTACCGAAACCATAAAGACGAAGCGTGTTACCGATCTTTTCCAGCTTTGTAGTAATTGAATCTTTACTAAAACATTTATTAAAACGATATTCGAAAATTGCCGATATTTTCTGGTTGACAATAAAAAAAATTTTAATCATTCATATAACAGAAAAATAATTCGAATCTTTCGACCATCTTTTCATCAAGTGAACAAGTAATCGAACAATTGATTGCATGTCTGTTGTTGAGGATGTCGACGTGAGTGTGGATCTTTTATGTCTCCTCATCAGCATCTCACTGTTAAAGTGAAAGTTTCAAGTCTTTTAATTTGTTTTTAGCCTACAATAGGAGCATGATATGTGCTGGTATATATGACTGATCAAAAAGACACATTATTGTTATAGTTTTATCTCAAATCAATAGAGATTTATGAGTTGGAAGATTTTCCTGGTTAGTGTAAAGAGTAGTAAAGTAACACTTTTCTAAAATTTAATTCATTTTACAAATATAGTTTGCTACCTACACAAAAGATAATTCAAGCAAAGCACCAATTATTTGTATAATCGTTCATAAATGGTTTTCAAGACCATCAAAAATAAATATTTCAGTTGTTGCACCGTTAATGATGACTTCTAATGTATTATCTCTTTTGTATGATGGTGAAACATTTTATGTTCTTTCATCAAAAGTTTGTATTAGTCAAATTTTATAAATCATTCGATGATTTAACAGATTATCAGAAGTTAACTACATGAAATATAAACATGAAATATAAATGAACTATTTCAAAATATAAAAATTTCTGCATATACAAAAATTCCTGATGGTTATTTTCCAATACGTGATAATAAATGAGAAATTATTACAATTGATTTTAAAAAGCTTTTAAATCATATAGATATAGATTCAGTATTAAATTTAAATGAAGATGATTGGAAGACATTAATTCTATATGGAAAAATAGGTAATAAATTACATGAGTTACGAACATTTGTTTCTCATATGAAAAATGAAAGAATAATAATTGAAAAAGAAAAGTTAACATTAAATTTTGACTTTAAATATTCAAAACAACGTGATGATATTGTTTCAAATATTGCCAAATTAAAATTAAATGAAATTGATAATTCAATTGAATTAAATCAACCTCGTTAGCAACTTCGTGAAATATCAGATCAACCTAAAATTGAAGAATTCAATATTTACAATATATTAAAATTAATCTTAATAAAATTCGTCAATATTGGAATACTATACAAAATTTAATATATGAACAAGAAATAGGTTCTTATACAATTAATGATTTTACATTTTTATCAAATCGTGCAAAAGTATTAACAACAACTGATGATGAATATTCTGATATAATCGATATTTTAGATCATACAAATGTTCCATTAATTGAATGCGCTATTTCTATGGAACAAGGACCATTTGTTCTTTGGTTAAAACAACCAAACAATCTTGAAGATACAACTACTGACTTTATTATTAATTTTCCATTAGAAGGAAATAAAAATTTAATTAATTGTATTATTGCAAATTCAGTTTGTGGTTATTGTGCTAAATCTTATATAAATGCAACAATAAATAATTCAAAAAAATGAATAACTCTTTATCGAGAACCATGTGCAGGTTTTATTCCATTAAATTGGTCAATAGAATCGAATAAAAAATTTGCAACTAATAGTCTTTATCAAATTTTAACTGGATATAAAATTCTTCATCATGTTCAAATGTTACTATTATCTATAATTGATGATTTTAAAGCAAATTGGTTTAATCAAGAAATGAAAAATTATTTTATTAAACAAATTATTGAAAATATTTCTATAACTGATTCATTTTCTAATGAAGGTAATCCAATAATATTTACTAATGCATTAAAAGAAATTATGAAACAAAAAGATAAATTATTACAACAACCACTTAATGCTGTTTGTAGAATTTTAAATTTTAATTATTTATTTCATCAACTTAATAAAGAAACAATTCACACACTTTTACGAAAACGTTTTATTCTTATGTATATTGAAAATCAATGTTCAGAAACAAAATTTGGTCCTGAATATTTAAGTATTGTTCAAGAACAATTATATGATATACTTTTTGATACATTACGTGGAATACCACTTCAAAATTCATTCAAACAAATTGATATTAATAATGAAGAGTTAAAAGAATTTTTAGGCAAATACTACGATACTACTATTAATTCTATTGATGAACTTACTGAAAGCTTAGGTATTGATCGTATAACAATACTTCCGAAAGAAACAATTTCATTTATTCTATATCTTCTAACAACTATACGTGAACACGATCGACCTATGAAATTATGTACTAATTTTACTTTAAAATATTGACAAATTCGTGAAAATATGCAAATCGAATGGTTAGAATTTGAAAAGAAAGTAAAAAAAAATGTTTTTGGTTATTATCATTCTAAATCTGAAACAGCTATAGCTGGATATGTAATTAATCTTGGAAAGTTTTCTTGTTCAAGTAAATTATTTGTCAATACTGAACCATTATGGCGAAATGATATTGATAATAAACGTATTAATATAATAATATTAATGAATGATATAAAAGAAAATTTCAGTAATAAAATGAAAAATTATTATGGAAATTAGGGATGCACCGGTGACGGTTCACCGTCCACCGTTTCACCGCACTAACGGTGCCACCGCCCACCGGTTCACCGATTGGTACGGTGAACCGGTGGACCGGTGAACGGTGCACCGGTGGTACGGTGAGGCGGTGGGACCGGTGCGCCGGTCACTTTTTTGTATTTCGGTGTCTCTCCTACACGATACATCTCAGAAGCTCGAGCACTTGACTTTCTGATAAGAAGTAATTCCTCGTTCTAATTAATTTTGGGAAATACTAATCAGAACTTTGGAATAAAGCAGAGCATCAAGCTGATAAGGTTATAAAGAGCCATAATGGAGACTGGCATATTAGTACTGCTGGATACATTGAGTATTTTGTTGTTTGAGTAATAGCGGAAACCGGTCATCACCGCAGATTCTCGTAGTTCTACATGGAGGGTATTGATATTGAATAGAAATACAACGGTAAGGGCCATTTCGCCGGTCGAAGCCAATAACTATACCTACGGTTACCGGTGTAGCTACAGTCATTGTACCTAGGTTTTTCGATCCAATCACGATAACCGTACCAATGGTTACTGGTCCACCGAAGATCACTGTACCTACGGTTACAGATCCAACTACCATCACCGAGACTACCGTAATCAGTCCAAATACAATATCCACAGGTACGCTTACCAGTCTAACTACTATCATCTAAGTTACGGTTACTCGCCTAGCTACGATTGCCGTAAGTAAATCTATTGGTGCAACTACGATAAACGTACATACGGTTACCAGTCCAACTATGATACCGCATTGATAGTTATCAACGAGATTATATGGCCACATCTACGGTCACCGGTCTAGCTACCATAAGCATACCTACGGATACCAGTCTAAATACGATAACTGTTTCTATCGTTAGTAGCCAAACTACGAGTAACTTGGGTACGGCTGATAGTCCGATTGCGATAACCGCACTTACAGTTATCGGTCCAACTACGATTCTCCTAGGTACAGTTATTAGGTCAAAACGGGTGTCGCGAAAAACAGCATTGCTAAGGAAGTGAGATTTTTATAAAGGCTGACGAAGTAAACTGAGGCTGGAGAGTCTGAATTCAAAGTCAGTCTTTGAAAATTTTAAACTGAAGTTTTTAGATTAAGTAAGTGTTTATTATGAAAGTAACTATTTCCTCGAAGGGTTGATGAAGGAAAATTCAACTTGACGCATTCATCAAGAAATCATTTTATTGATAATTGAAATCCAGAGTCTTGATAAATTAATATCACATTCAAGTCCCTGAACACAGATTTACTTTCGTCACTCTTTTCTAAATATGAGCATCTTCTTAGAAAACCTTTTCTTAGCGTACAAAGTCAACTTAAACATTTTCAAAATTTGACGTCAGGTTCCGATTTTCTGATCATGATCATCTTTCTTTAGCTTTCACAAGAATTCGTTAGTGTCTTGAAAAATACTGTGTTTCACGAAAGCCTTATATGACTGATAACTGTACCTATGGTTATCATAACTGGTACTGAAATCGTAAGTGCAGTTTTCTTAATTGTAGCAATAACCGTACCAAAGGTTCACGTAGTGAGCCCGTAATCATACCTATGGTAATCGTCATCGTTGCATCACTAACATGAATAACGATAGTCGAAGCTATACTCTTTACTAGATGGCACTATAACACATAAAGCGTTTCTTTCATATTTGATTACCGTGATTCGATTAAGAAAAGGGTCAGTGGAACCATGAAAACCTATGCCAAACTCCGATGAAACAGCATCAGTGATTGATACAAGCATTCAGGTGTCTGAAAAATGGTTAAAATTGACCATATCAGTGGGCTCCTAATATTTTAACCTGCCATGTTCGCCTTAAACTCTAGGATTGAAACCGTATTCTTGATTTGAGAATGTAGTCGTATACGAGACACTTTTACACACGAATATAATCATCAGGCTAACAAGGTGGTCGGTATAACAATAAAAGCGTACGGTGGTGGCTGCTAGACGGATATTATATGTTATCTTGAGCCTCAACTAGTCCATAAAATTCTTCGAATTGGCCATAACGATAGGTTTCTGCTCCCTAACTTCCATTGTTAGCTTTCATGTTGACGGTCAAAACTGTATAAGAATTAAAAAAACCTGCAAAGTTAATTTTTCTAATATGTTTGATGTTATTTAATGAAATATGAAAGCTCGTCAGGGCTCTGCATGATACTGTTTCAGCAGAAACAAGAAAAACAATACTTAAAAAACAAAAATGAGGGATCAATTCTTTAAACAAAAAAAGCGTCTTACTTCGAATGAAAAGTCCTTCGAGTTTACTATATATTGTACAATCAAATAAAATGATAGGAAGAAATTAGTTCAATTGTGATATCGTATCATTATAATTTTCGTCAAGTGCTTGGTCAGAAACCATTTAAGGATCATGGAAAATCACAAAATATAGTATCTGAATTGGTTTAAATCGATATTAAATTCTACGTTTAAAAATAACTCAGAGTACTATTAATATAATATATTGATGGGAAACTAGTAATAATATATAATTCATCATTTTTCAACAGAGATATACTAAAACATTAATCAGAACATCAATCAAATGTTCGACGAACATTCTTTTAACAGATTTTTGACAATGTATTCAAATGAAACGAATGAGATATATTGGTATCGATGTAAATTCTTTCTTAACAAACATTAATACTCACGCCAACACCTATATTCACATCGTCCTCGTATCTGCTAAGTCAAGAAGTATTGAGGCGCTTCTGGCGACTCCATCAAGTGCCAAGATCGCAGTACTACACTGACGATGTTCCGGAAGGAAATGTGGTTCGGAATACACGTGAGGCTGTAACGTTGAAGGTGAGAGAAGAAGGTACGGATGTGTGTCTTTTGTTCACCAACACCCTCATGGTTTTGGAGATAAACACAGTTCAAATATTCATTATGTTTTGCGTGACCATGGTGCGCAGCATATGCTCAGCATGCTTTTTGTCGATCCAATGAAAGCAAAGAAATAAATAGAGAAAAAGTTCCATAGTAGCAGAACATCAACAAAATGTGACAAGAACGACAAAAAAATAGAAAAGGAAAGAAAACAGTGCTGTTACTTCACTACTCATTCTTTCTGTTGAATTGAAGTAGATGAAAAATAATAATTGTTGCTTAGTTAATAGTTCTGTTTTGTCAAAAAACAAACACGCGCTTAGCCTTCTGATTCTCATACGAGACATTCAGTTTACGAGTAAGAACATATTATGTTTTACATTGTTTTAGATTGTCTAATTACTTCAAATACATGCAGTATATTTCACGGGTTTCGGATTGATTTTATTCAGAAAAACGATCACATCTGTAACAAAATAGAAATAGAAATCATATTTATCTGCGTATCACTCGAGTCATTTTTCAAAAACTACTTATTCATCAATAAAATATCAATAATATAGACTTTTCAAGAAGCGTATTTAATAATCAATAGAAAATTATAAACTCTTTAGTCTTTTCTTTCGATACCTGCTTGTAATAATTGATTGCAATGGGAAACTGTTCCGCATCATCATCAGTAGAATTGCCGGCGACTGAATCACAACATATTCAAACTGAAAATCAAAGTAAAAATGAAAATGAAATAAATGTTAATCTAGAACGTGTCAAAAAAGAATTCGAAGCTAAATATGTACAACCATTGAAACAAACAGTCAAGGTAGAAGACTTTCAATTGGGACGAACCATTGGCATGGGAATGTTTGGTCGTGTCAGATTGGTAAAACATGGAAATGAATCATTAGCAGTAAAAATCATGGAAAAACGTGTCATTGTCGAACTCGGACAAGTCGAAAATATTCTATCCGAGAAACGTATTTTACAAGCAATCAACTTTCCATTTATTGTTAGCTTAGTCTATTCATTCAAGGATAATTCTTATTTGTATTTAGCATTTGAGTTTGTCAGCGGAGGTGAAATGTTTGTTCATTTAAGGTAAGTCTTTTGATTTGTTGCCTTCGATGATAACGAGAAGAATAAATTGAAGCTCAAACTATTTTCATCATTGATTGATTTAGGAAAGTGAACAAGTTTTCAGAAGATCAAGCACGATTTTATGCTGGACAAATTGTACTTGCCTTGGAATATTTACACGATTCGAGTGAGTCACCATGCTTAATTCATCTTTTTATCAACTTTTAGTCTCGATGCATAGATATTATCTATAGAAATTTGAAAGTAGAAGAAATTCTCTTTGCGGCCGATGGTTATTTGAAGCTCGCTGATTTTGGACTGGCTAAAGTTGTGAAAGATCGAACCTATACACTATGTGGAACGCCTGAGGTAGGTTTGTGCATCTAAGCATCATTCTTTTACTTGCATCGGATTTTTGTTTGATCTTCATACTCTAGTATTTGGCACCTGAAATCATCACGGGTATTGGTTATAATAAAAGTGTCGATCATTGGGCATTGGGTATCTTGATATATGAATTCACTGCGGTAAATGAAAAGTTTTCTAAACGTTGAATTTGTTTGTATATTTTTCTTTGATCGCATAGGGTTTTTCTCCATTTCAAGATGAAGATCCAATGAGAATCTATAGAAAGATTCTTCAAGGCACAATTGAATATCCAGAGCATGTTTCACTTAATCTTAGAGATTTAATAAAGAAATTACTTCAACCTCATCCAGCAAGGCGTTATGGTAATTTACAAAATGGTGAAAATGATATAAAAAACCATCAATGGTTTTCCTCGATTGATTGGGTTGAATTATTTAAAAAAAATATCAAAGCATCCTATGTACCAGAAGCTGATAAAGACCACTATGAAACATACGATGAAAACGAATTGATACAAGCCGAAACCGATCAGTATCCAACTGAATTTGATAGTTTTTAGGAGCTTCTATTTTTCTTTTCTTTTTTTGTTGATGTCAGTGGCATCTTATAATCGTTTCAACAGAGTAAGTCGTGTATTCTCATTTGCGAACATAGAATCGAAGTTCAAATTTGTTCAATTTAACTTCAGTTGCTTTTTAAATTTAATTTACTCAAATTGAAAACAATATTAAGTCTCAAATTTTCGTTTCTCAAATTTCTAAGAAAATTACTGATAATAGTTTTAACACAAATTATACTTTCAGTTATATCTTTAAACTAGCTGTAATTTATAGAGTGCGTTAAACTATAGTAATGCTTTTTTTTTATTGAATTATATTATTGTATGTAAGACACCAAAAACCACTCAAACTTCAAAGTATGTATTATTGTAGAATGAATCTGTCTGTGCACCTTTCTCAAATATATAATAAACGTTAACTAACAATGACAGGTGTGTTTTCCTCCATCCAATTTTGGACGAAACGGTGTCATTGATTATTTATTCCTGACAAATGGTAAATAAGATATTCGAAGAAATAAATTGATGACGTCATGTATGATTGGTAGTGCATACTTCAAATGACTTCCTCTTAATAATATTAGTTTATTTTGACTCGATGGATAGAATCTACAGGCATTAAATAATGTAATTCTTGTCTTCCTGCTATTTTAACACTATTTGAGTTAAAATGACACAACTACACTAAGAATAAATTGCAGGGTGTCGGTTGTAAAATATCTGACAGAAATAGTCTGATTCATGACAGTTGTTGCTGATTTAGTTGCTTTTTAAATGATGAATATGGGTGTGAGCGTTTAAAAGATAAGATTGCTCATGCCTACACCCTCAGTAGAAGCATAAACTTTGCTTCTAAGGCCCTAACAGTAATATGCATCTGTTTTACCTACTTTGTAGTAGCTGATGCAAGACGACTACGCGCTTGCAATCCCAATCCAAGATGCAGCTAAATGCAGGACCATAGTGATTTTAATGCCAGCTACGATATAGGTTCAAATCTCAAAAATCGATTTTATCGCGGGTGTGGGTGTGGGTGGGTGTCGGTGTCGGTTGGGAGTTGATGGTCAAAAGTGCAATTACATCAAAAACCACATGCACATTCGCATGATGTAGATTTCGCCTGTGACGAAAATTTTGTTAAACGGATTCCCATTTCTAATGAATGATGACATATTTCGATGTGTTTTTTTTATCAATTCTGTCTATTCATCAATAAGAAATCAAGCAGATATGCTTGATTCAATCAAACTTGATGTTACATTTAGTAATGTGTTCTTGTGCTTTATTTTAAATAAGTCTTATCATATGAGATAATACTTTTTAACTCTACTTTGAAATGACAAAAAAAAAGTAAAATTATATACTTTTTTTATCGTTTATTGTTCTTGTTGATTTCTTAACGTTCAATATTTTTCATCTCTATCGAATACGAATTATCGCATCTTTAGCTAATTTTGTCAGAGGTTCTTCAAGTGTGTGACCACGACGTTTTCTATGAAGTCCATGAACACAGCGGTACAGAGGTAATTCATCAATATAATTCGGTATTATATATTCAAATTGTAATGTAAAATACCGAATACAATAACTTTTTAAAATAATTTGTATATCTTTACCATATTTATGCGTACATGTACTTAACATGACGTCTTCATCACACACAAGATGCATTGTCGCATAAATTTCTTTAGCTGTTGCTCTAGAACAGAAGAAAACATTTTTCCATAATTTTGTTTGTTTTTTGTAAAAAAAAAATATTATTTTCCATACCTCCAAATATGTAAACTATGTATACTTTTAATTGCTGGAGTAGTTGTCACAATTTCGTTCATTAATTGTTTTGTATCAATACCACCTGGAACATTTTCAATTAATATTTCACTTATTGAAAATATGACAGGAAGTGCACGAACAACAATAATAACGACCATTATTAGTGTTAATAATGGATCAACATATTTTAACCAAGTATTGACTTCTTTTCTTGTAATTGGATCTATATGTGGAATAAATTTAATCATACAACCTGATACGACAACAATGATGGATTCTAATACAACAACCTTAATGATAAAGTATATCGAATAACAACAAAGTTCCAGTTTTTCTTAACGAAAAAACAACTTACGAATGAATGTAAACATAGAGCATGCAAAGTAGCATATATTCGCGATTCTGACATTTCAACATTTTCATAGGTGAAGGCATCGAGATTAGATGTACACTGATGAACATGTTCTGGTGTTATTTCTGTATCACTAGTTATGTCTGAGTGATGGGTAGCTTCATATTTAGACTCTTTAGTCATTAATGGAATTTCAACAGCTGTATTGTTATGTGTTTTAATGGATGATGTACGCATTGGTTTCATATGTTGTTTTGTCCATGCTAAAATATCTCGTTTTTTCTTTTCATGTATTTCTTCTTCTATATCATGATCATGATGATAACCCCAAAACATAGCCATTCCAAGTATACCAACAAAAGTTCCACCTATGCCAATAATAATCATTAATTTTGGATCATGTACAAGCATAGGATTAATTAAATGATTAACAGCGTCAACTATAACACCCAATGATACTGATAAAAGAAATACTTCTTGTACAAGACCAAATAATAATTCTAATCGTTCATAACCAAATGTATTGTTTTTTGGACGATGTCCTACCTTATGTGAATAATGAAGAATTAACAAAACACCAATTAAACAAAGACCTTCCGCAAATGAATATAATCCATCCGCTATTAAAGAATTCGAATGCGCACGAATACCATAAACTATTTCACCAGTAGCCGTTGCAATCGTGAGAATAAACATAATAAATACACGAAAGATTTTTGATCTAATTTTATGTATAAATGATTCACAGCAGGCGGTTACTTAAAAAGAAATTAACGAAATCCTACACAGTATTCACCAAAGTATCACTGTCAGATAAAAAGTATCATTAACATGAATCCTTTGGTCTCATGCTTTTAGCCACAAAAAAAGAGTATAATGAACCCTAATCACACGTATCAATCAGAACTTGATCAATCTTTATGCGCAGGAATCAGAAGATTAGCATAGATGTTTTATTCAATGGAGGTTTAATTGACTGCAAAAGGATGGATATCAACGCATCAAAATAGAGGCGCACAAAACAAGTGTCAAAAAAAGCATTTTTTTTCATGTTCGAATAAAAAACCTGTTAGCGCAATCCCTGTGGGATTAAAATGTGGAACATCATGTAACTCTTATTGCTAATCGTATGGAGATCGTTTTATTCTATCTATTTTGGAGCATATATATCTTCGTTATTCTTTTACTGAGTTCTCCAGAAATATAATAAGTAGTATAACGAAACGTAATTGATATACGATCTTTGATCGTATATTAACAACGTTGGTGACAAAGAGGAGTCGTTTGTTAAGGCATCAGACGCGCCATATGACAGTCTCCGACTAACGTCTGTCGTGGTCTGTGTAGGGAGTGGAGGGAAGGGGATGCACATTTCTACCCGATATGCTTCAACACTAATTTTCCATCATATTTCACAAAAGCAGTGTTTCCATTATAAAGTCGATACGTTAGTGCCGATCTACCTCGAGTTGGTACTCGCGATCGAAATTTACCGAGCTCTGTTAATAGTAAAGTATCAGGTGAAAGATCCAAATTAAGACACTTTTTATCTGTTAGCAGAACTTTTGGTGCCTACTATAGAATTTATAACATCATACAGTTCTTCATGTTTCTTTTTTTAACTTACTGCTTGACATTTTGTTTTATGCTATAGAATTCGATTTAATGCACATATACGCACACAATATATCCCTTGGATTACAAGATGACTATGAAAGACAGGTAAGTATTATTATGCGATTTATAGCTGTTAATACGCACATGTATGATCAATAAACTTGAGATAAGAAAAAAGTATCACTTTAAATAATTCATGCTGGTGTTAGGAATGAAATAAAAGCTTATTATTGACTATTTTTATGTTGTATAGTAAGAAAAAAACGAATAATAATTTAAACAAAAGAAAAGGTTTTGTCAATTGGTTATTGTTTGATTACGTATGGAGCATATTCCTATTTTCAAACGATATATTTCACACTTTACTACATGAATAAATGAAATGAGGGTGGGTGTGTGGATGTGCGAGTGATTGTGGGCTAAAAGAACCCCCACACTCACATCTTCCCCTCCCCCACACCCACACCCACACCCACATAATTTTCATATACAAAATTCAATCTAATCGGAATATAAATATTATATTCGCAATTAGCGCGCAAAAATGCATATAAATAATGTGCTTTTAAGAATATTTGAAGAAAAAAAGTTTTCAAATCCTGGAAATGTACCACAATAGGTAACAACCTGACTTTGAAATGGCGCAAAAGTAAATTGTAGGAAATACTCAGGGTAGCGCTATAACAAATCTTAGATAAAAGTAAAAAAACCGTAGGCGAAAAATGGTCACATCGGGACACATTCTTTGCAGGATTGGATAAGTGAAAAAAATTAAAATCAGTATTAAGTTTCGCAAATCCTAAAATAATTCTCTTATTAAAGTTAGATAATCAAAGGATTGAACTTTCCTTCGAATTCATTTTTACTTTATCAAATTTGTCATTTGGCAGTGTAATGAAGTGTTTGTTTGTCCATATTCATCTAGTAGTGAATAGGATTGAAGATTATAGAGGAAATATTTTTGTTTGGCTGCTGCAAAAAAATCATTGTTCACGATAAGATCACAAGCTAGAATGAAAGGATCACGATTACGCTTTTATTTCTATGTGATGTAGATAACAGTATTTATAGCGTTATGCTACGACAGAGAGAACGCAGTCAATCTACCAAAAAGATGACAATACCAACTATAGTTGAGCAAAAGTATGTTGAATTCCAGAAGAATGCAAAAACTGTTGCTTATGATAAACTATAGACATAGGAGGAGAGTTTGGAGATGATTGAAACTTCCAGAATATTTCAAAACTTGCTGAATTTCTTATTTGATAGGCTTATTGATTCGTCCATTATCTAAGAGTTTCATCCAGCAACATACGATGTTAATTCGGGTAAAATTAATTCAAACTTACTATTTAACTAAAATATCCGTCAGGGAACAGTTATCAGCGCCATCTGATGCTAAACTAAACCTATTCTCAGTCACAACATTCACCGATAACAGAAGCTTTTTGTTCTTATCGGAGGGAGACCAAGTAAATGCTTTTTTCTCTATCTTATGTTCTCTTTAATTTATATAAATATACGAAAAAGTCTTATATCAGCACACAATGCGTACACGGTCGCAAAGTCTAGTTGCTAAACGAAAAATTCAAGATGACTTGACAAGTTTGGGGCAAGTTGATGAAGAACTGACTTTGGCGAATCAAACAACAGTAACAACATCCAAGCGCCGAAAGAAAGCAAAAGCATTGCCCACAGAGGATCAAATAGAATCAGTTGTAGTCGAAAAACGTCTTCATTGCTATCGTCCAAGACCTACAATCGCTATTCGTGTTCGTATTCAACGTGCTTTGAGCCAACGGCTCTATCTATTGGCTGCTAGTTCCACACAAGCTGAACCTCTCTATCGGGAATATAAGGTGTTCGGGCAGACGGGCAATGTCTACACTGTGATCATTACTCATCTACCATCGTGTACTTGTAAGTTCAGAGAATTTCTTTCCAGAACCAAATTGAAAATCTCTTTTTTTGGACAGGTCCCGATCATGCGAATGGTTATCTATGTAAACATATTATTTTTGTTTTGCATCGTGTCCTCAAAGTTGATCGTCGTTCGCCATTACTTTATCAAAAAGCGTTATTGACCAATGAATTAAACGAGATTTTTGCCAAAGCTGACCTACAACGGAGTGGAACCTTCAACGACTCAAATGTTCTTGCTGAACAAGAGGTAAACTATATGGTTATCAAAAAATATCATCTCTCAAAAATATGAACGCTGTATACAGACGTGCTAAAGAAGAGGAACATAAGAATATAGATGTGACAGATCCGGAAGTGCAAGAAATATTTATACATACATACGTATGTATAATGAGTGGTATCCAATATCCAGAGCATCAGCTATATTTTAACGATAAGTAACGACTATATAGTATTTAAGGCACTATAATATCACTTATTACACATACGTATAACCTCTTACATTGATTAAAAGTCTCTCACCTTTGAACTTATAAAGCTGTAAACCTGCAGACATTATTTTCTGCATACCATTATTGAAGTCACTGCTGAAAAGTACTGATTCATTACTAATTAGATCAGTGAAAGAATGACGCAGTCTCGTGCCCTAATCTGTATATATTTTTTGAAAACGAATGATGTCAAATATTGCTTAGTTTGCAATCAGTTGGTAACTATCAATGAGATTCCCGCCAACTGCTTTTCCAGTGAAATATGTTAAACGTAATTTTTTACACTTTCCGACTATGATATTCATAATAGGAACGAAAACTGACACCGAAAAAAAATTCTGAATAACTGCAAATTAGCATGAAACTTAGCTCAAAATAGGTTTAATACACTTCGTCAGTATATGCACTAAGGCAATATTGTTGCGACTACAGAACTGGTTCAGAAGTCCTATTGCAGTACTGAGAACTGACGAAAAATGTGTTAGTGTTTCGATATTACTGCATACCAATAGTAACAAATCAATACGTGCACTTGTGTGACATGCTGTACGCATAGTTTTGTCACATTTAAAAACGATAACATTTGTAAAATATAAGTGCTATTGTACTTTTTGTCACCATGTATTGAATACAGTTCTCCACTCAATGGATCTTCCCCTTGTCTCATCTCTTTCAGGTACGTGAAGCCTATCGAGTGACAACTGGCGATCCTGATACAATTTTCGACACTGTTGTGGATGTCACACCGACAATGGCGACGACAACAACAGCAACGATGGTGCAACAAAAGCCGATCACAGCCGATGATGATTGTCCAATTTGTTTTGAATCGATGGAAGATGAAACAAACGATGCCAATAGTATTCTCTTTTGTTCGATTTCATGCGGCAATAATATGCACGTGACTTGTTTCAATAAATGGCGTCGAACTAAAGTGTTAATAGGTGAATCGGTTACTTGCCCATTCTGCCGCATTGAATGGAAAACAGCAGCGATCGATGACCCTGCACCAATCAATGCGGTGTACACCACCACCGGCTATCTTAATTTGGCTACTCACTCAACAACTTTGACCAACAACGCTAACGATGGCAGATCGTTCTATTATTCTTATCCACGCTATTATTTCAACTATCAGCGGCGTCGACGGCGCCGTTCGTGATCATCTAATCAACTGTTTCCTTGTTCGAAAAATGTCGATGGTTCCCATGGATATATTTATTCTTAATCAAGATATTTAAGGCAAGATCGTCCATCCGATATTGATTATCATTTTTTTTTCAGTCTAAATATATATATATATATGTCGATTAAATGGCAAAAAATAGTTATAAACAGAAAATTGATGATCCAATAAAAATGAGTCTATATTAACCGGAACGTTGGAAAATGCTTTTCAACAAATATGATTCTACTTTTATTTATCAGTCGTAGCCATAACTAATTGTGGGGCTCATTTTTCTTTCTGTTATTGATATCGTCAATGAGAAAATCTGAAAAATGAACTACAATGATCATAACTCGGGAAAGAGACAAGATAGAGAACTGAGTTTTATAGAAAGTTGAGAAAGGTTTGAAATGATCGTGAGAAAAAAACTTCGACTTAAACCATCATGATAAACAGAAAATATTCTCAAATACATCAAGAAATAGAATGGTGCAACGAGCATGCAATCATTTGCACAAATGGCTATTTGAATGGGCTGCTTTTTGTCTACATCAGGCTAAAGTGATCACATTGATGCTGATGTTGAGTGTGAGAGTGAGGGATGAGTTTATTCTACTAAATAGACTTCTAGCTGTCATGGCACGTGTTTTGGCCTTGTTAAAGAGCTTCGTCAGATGGTTTTAAGAAACAGTTTATTAAGAAAAAAATCACACATGAGAAAGAACTGGTCTAACAATGCTTAGATGAATATATGTAGGTGCACTTTTAAACAGAAAAATGTCTCATGAGAAAGGCGAAGGATTTGTGATAGTTGATCGGATGTTGAGTATGTTTACTGTACTGTAGAACATACGTTTGAAGGTTGCTGTAGAAGATATTACTCGGTGTTGGTGAATAGTTCTCTTGGTGACTTTTTGAACTTTAATAATAAAAACATATCGATCTTCACGTTTTCCAACGAGCAGCACGAAGTAAAGCCGTATATGATATATTATAATGTATATGATGTGAATGGTCAGACAAAAATGGAAGAATATAAACCTTGGCGGATGATTTGTGAAAAATGGATGTTTTCAATTGTCTATCATTATTCTGGATAGCCACATCAAGGAAATCCACCGCAGCCTCTTGAGCAAAATACGTAGTATGAATAGTTGGATCCTTTGTACTTTCATTTTTGAGAACGGCAAGGATGTGATTATGCGGTAAATTGGTTGTCATGAAAACATCATCAATGCATCTATTTAAGAGAGCGTCCATGAGACCACCACTCAACTTGGTTGCCGAAAATTTTTACCCTTCGAAATTGAATGGCCCGTCTGAAAGAGCACAACAAGTTAGGCTTAAATCCAAAATATGAGCCCTTTTGACCTCAGCCTTGTAACGGAATGGTGAAGCGATCTTTCTTCGGTCGATTCTGTCTCGGTAAAGGAGTTAATACGGGATTTCAGTGCTAATAGCATTAGCGTCCATTTTTTTCAAAAAAACAAATTTGCGTACCTCGATTTACTAGTATTAAAATATCTTTACTACGAAAGACATATTATACACGAATTTTATCCCCCATGTTTCTGGAAAAGTATCGGGATAATGGGGGTAAAATTTTATGTAAGTTTTAGCATCGAAAAATTTACCCCCGTTACTTTTTTTCTGTTTAGAATTTTTTGTTTTTTTTTTTGAATGCTATTAGCATTGAATTCCTTCATTTACTATAAATAACGTATGTTTAGCTAGAAAATTAGGGTTACCTTGATATTCAAACAACTTTTTTCCTAGAAAACGACAATTTTCTGAACATATAAAAGACTATTTTCCCCATGCTCAAATATACTGATTATTAATAATTTATTATTTAAATAAAAATGAACAAAAGTAGATTGATTTACATTGAATTAATGCGTTGAAATAAAGAAATCGGAAAGAGAGAAGATGATGGTTAAAAACAAACATTGGAGATAAAAATGTCATATCTGTTTGTGCATTCACTTCAGAAAAAAATCAAAACAAAATTGCAATTTAAGAAGCAAATAGGAGTGTGGGTGCGAATCTTCTCATGACTGGCACACACCGACACTCATACGTACACCCATGCACATAGTACTTTAAAAAGTTTGTTCGAGATAAGATTTAGACTAGACTGCATTTATAATATAGCCAAAGAAAATCCGTGTAATGAATAAGTCTTATTCATGATAGTCTACAATAAGGTTCAATATTGATATATTAACTCTCCCAAGAAAAGCTGTAAGATAGATATAATTTTCGACCGAAAAAAAAAGATGAAAGCAAATACAAGTTTTCATCTTAGAAAAACATTAAAATGAAACAATGAGAAAATATTTTTCATCAGAAAAAAAGCAGCAAAGACTTATAAACCTGCGCCATGCCTAACTCCATGTAATTAGAAGTCATATAGAATCACATTATCTTTTCTATTTATATTTTTTAAAGTTAAAGATTTTTCTAATATAAATGAAAATGTTATCCAGTTTTTTTTCTTACAGAAAAGAACAAGAGTTAATTGTTTATTTTTTTGTCTAGAAAAACTTATTAATTTAATTTAACATGCTTAAAACAGACATACGGATCAAGTTAAACGAAAATTATCTTTTAATCAATCATCAAAAGACGAAACAAAAAAAAACTACCAAGTGATTTCTTCGAATAGTAGATATAGTTTTCGTTCTTTTTTTTTTTTGTATTTTCATATAAATAGATGAATTCGATCGATCAATAACTTGTATTGAATATTTGTCTAATGAATTTTTCAATGAAATATTTGATCATCTTGATGGTTACAAAATATGCAAAGCATTTTCAAATCTTAATCAAGGTTTTCAAAATCTTCTCAATTCTTCATCACTTTTATTTAAAATTGATCTTAACAATTCAACATATTATATTTATCCTAAAAGTTTTTCTTAGTTCGTTAAATATTGACATAAATAAAATAGTCAAAAATCATTGAGTTTCTATGAAAGATATGAATCACAATAATAATCACCTGCAATCCTTAAGTCAAGATCATCTTAAAACAATGTTGATAAGATGATTCGTTCGATTGATTTGATCTAATGAAACTTTTCTGGTAAACTGAAGGATGAGTTTGAGTTTAATCCACAGTAGAAAATGATCTCTTCGATTAAAAATGAATTATTTATTTTCTTTAATGAGAGCATCACTGCATTGTTTGACTAACTTTGCATATACGACGAAAGTTTGAATAATTATCATTTGATAAAATAGAAGAAAGACAAGTCAAAGAAAAAATGAATGAAGACCAAATGAACAATTATAACGTTGATTTGTGACTTTCGTTATAAATTGTTTACAAGAACGCACCATTATACGATTCACTTCGTGATCTTTGATAACGATTTTGGTCATTTTCATTTATTGAACGTGATGCATTCTCAAAATGAGAACAAATCTTTCTAGAATGCATGAAAAATGATTTAACATTGAAGCTTCTTGAGAGTTGTGGAGACATTTGATCACTGTCACCACTAGTACTCAATGCATCATCACTCAACGATTTGTTTGTTACATTTGAGAATTCTGAATGCAATTCATTTACAAAACCAATCAAAGAAACTAAAAAACAAAATATGAAGCGTAAAAAGGTTGAATCAATGGTTTAAAATTTTATTTTGACAAGTACAGATCTGCTATTTACTCATCTCATGATTTTCTTTTCCATAAAATATTCAAATATTCATTCAGTGTCTCTATTAGTCTGTTCTCTTCTTTCCTGTGTTTTTGATAAAATTAATATTTTTTTCTATTTTTCTATTGTCATAGCACCCTTATAAGAGAAATGATCAATTTTCTCATATTTTCATTCATATCACTTTTTTTTTCTGTGGATACAGTACGTTTTGATGATCAACTGATTTCTTTTCTGCTGTTTTGTTTAGCGATGTATCTGATGTATAAATCATCTTCGGCTTCAACTGGCAACAGGATTTTTTTATATAAAGGAGTTCTTGATATTTGTTTCATAAACGCTTGCTTCATATCACACAAAATGCCAATTACGTTGAAAAATATAATAAACATTGAATTTTTATAAACTTATCAAGACTTCGGAAGACTGCAAATTATTTTAGACGATCTGGTATTGCAAGTTACTTGTTTTTAGTGTAAACAGGTCGTAAAGCATAGATTGACTATCGTACTTTGAAATCTAGTAATCCGAAAGACAAAATGCGTGAAAACCAACCTTTATTAACATATTCAAACACATCATCTGATGGTGATAGTAGTCAGTTCAATAAATCCATACAATCATTAGTATATGTAATAAAATTAATTATTTACTTAGAATAAACACTCATTTACTTTTTTCGTCGTCATAAAGATGCTTCAAAAAAATGAAAATGTTGCAACTAATAATTCCAATAATGAATCAATTACTATATTTATTCAATTGGAAAATATGTTGATATTATAAAAAATGAGATTAACAATTCGCTTGCTTTTTAATTTAGGTTTGCTGTTTATCGACTTATCCTTTGTCATTTTACATACTATTTGTATTGCTATCCAAAATATACTATTCGGAAGATTAATTGGTAATTTTTTATTATAACACCATTATCAAAAGATTGTCAATCTCTCATGAAAAATTCATCCTTGTGAAATAAAACAAAGTCAATCAGTCCTTTTGATATTGAACTGAATTTATTTAATTATCATTGATTTAATGAGTAATAAATAGCTTATATATCATTTGTTTCTGTTGAAATGATTAACCATAGATTTTGTACAGAAGGCAATATGCTCTCGAGAAGATGTTACGAATACAAATTTACTGGCTATTGAGTAATTTTATTTCAATGGCCGATAACAAAAATATATATATTTTTTCTCATTTAGTTATTAATTGTGTTGAATTCGTATGTGGTAGTGTACAATATTATACGTTTATGATAAGTGCTAAATGGCAAACATCTCGCATAAATAGTCGTCTTTTTCAATTACTTATTTACAGAATATGTCAAATGTAAGTTAACTATTGTATATTGCGAAATAAGCGAATTCTTCGATTAAAATTTTAATCAAATTTAAATATTACTATGATAGAATCTTGGAATCGCTTCTCGATGAAGACTTTAGTCCGTAGACGGAATGAATTTTCTTGCTTTTTGATTCATGTCACTTTTATTTCTTTTTTTCATACGAAAATCATTGAATTGTATTCAGATAGGTTTAACTCTAAACAAAATTTTATGTTCAAAAATTTTAATTTTAAAAGAAACTCAACAGGAGCTCGTTCGGAATACTTTATTATAGTCATTTTAGAACAAATAAAATAGAATAAATTTTCAATCTTCTTGACATCAAACATCAGCAATTAGACTAGACTGATTTTAACTCATAAGCTATTGCCAGTAAAATGAATACATTTTAAATGAGATTCATATCGATTTCTATAGATTTCATGTGTATTGCATATGAATAACGATCGGCAAATTTATCTATCTTATTAATGAATCCTCTCATGGTCAGCAACGCGTATAATTCGAATAGGTGTTATAGTTTCTTAAGAAAGTAAGCAGACAAGAAACAAAAATCAGAGTTATACATGCTCAGCATTGAATAAAACCTGATATGAATCGCAAATGATAGCATAAGATCAAAAATTAATTTCGTCCGAATGTTAGAAAACTCTATGAATGAATTGTTTGTTGCAATTCTGTATATATCTTGTATTTCTGAAGGGTTTTACAACTTAAATTAGATAGCATCGATTGATATCATTCAATCATATTTCGATACTTACGACAATCAAGGTTCAATAAAATAACTGTTCTCTTTCTTCGTTTTTGAAAATATTTCATTATATTTGGTCCTTTTGCTATCTGAAAGTCAATAACTTTTGTCCGGTCTCATTTAGCGTTCCTGAATATAGCTGACAGAGCCCGAAAACGAACCGAACTCGAACCGAACTAAGACGGTTCGGTTCGGTTCGACTCGAACCGAACCGATCTCGATCCGGTTTTTTTAAAATTTAGTCGAACCGAACCGAACCCGAACCGCTCTTTCAAAATCGTAGACGAACCGAACCGAACCCGAACCACCCTTTTTAAAACAGAATCGAACCGAACCGAACTCGAACCACTTCTTAAAAAGCGACGTTAAACTGAACTGACCCTAACTAATTTTTTGAAAAGCGAATAAATATGGACAAGTACGTAAGAAAAATGATTAACTGAACTATAATCTTTTTTGTAAGATTGTGATGCTATATGGGATTATCAAACGATCTTTAATCGAACATTTTACATCAGGGATTGTGGACGATCAATTTACATTTACAAAAATTTATCAAGTCAAGAAATACATTGTAAAAGATTTCATTTTATTTTGAATTCAAATCGAATTTATATAAAATTAAAAAAAATACAATAAACTCAAAATAATTTAGATTACATCTAAATACATTTGAAGTATTTTAAACTCCATTTTAATTAATTTAGGTTTTACTTTGTGTAATTATCTATAGAAATCAAAAGAAACCTTTTATCTCTCAGGTCTACTAGCAATTGTATCTGTACAAATCTTTATTATCGTTAGAAAATAATAGGAACGGAGCACTCCCGTTTTCTTACGGAATCTTCTATATTGATAATCGGATGTTAATGTGTAATAGCAGTTTCTCTCTTTATTTCTGATCTATTTTTCTTGAAGTCCTGTATTTTGACGATTGGGTTGTTGCATTTTAATTCACAAAAATTTATTATTTCCAGAAATTAATTCTCAAAAATTTAAATCTAAAATAATTTTAAATTTATTCCACATAACAATTTAAATTTATTTTAAATTAAAATGTTAGTATCAGAAAAATTTTCATTTAATTTAAATTTATATTGGCAACAGTTTTAGTTTAAAATAAACTTACAGGAAAATGCCACCCCTATCAGGAACCGAACCGAACCGAACCGATCTCGAACCGGTTTTTTTAAAATTTAGTCGAACCGAACCGAACCCGAACCGATGTTTTAAAACATAGTCGAACCGAACCGAACTCGAACCCACTTTTTAAAGACGTACTCGAGCCGAACCGAACCCGAACCAATTTTTTAAAAACTTAGTCGAACCGAACCGAACTCGAATCCGTAAAAGTCGGTTCGATTCGGGCTCTGATAGCTGATCATAACGATTAAATAAAAATATTCTGGATTTATTCGTTGATTCAAAATTTGATGTATATGTCGCTAGTGAGAAGTGCATCCGCTAATAAAAGCAAGAAAGAAACGTCTTTTAATCCTTCTGACAGTACACCAATAAAGTGAACTATGCAGATTTAAATTAATCATTCATCTATAAAATCTTGACAAAAATGACTGGTACACGTATGTTAATTTTTTTTGCAATCTAAATTTTCAGAATGAATACAAACTGTATTGATTAACTAGAAAATATTGCAATGAAGTATTTTTAATGAAAAGAAACGAGTATATACGCATGATTAAACAAGATTGTCCGTCATAGTTTCTGTTTTACATATTATAGCTGTTGTTTCAGATTGATTATACAGGACAGGTTTTATTTGAAGTATTCATTTGTTTAATATTCTTACAAAAAAAGAATTACTTAACAGATTATAGTTCTTAAGATAATGTAAAATATCATTAATCTACGATCTATTCATAATATTTTGTAAATATTTTCCATACCCACTATTAATTAATGGTTCACTCAATCTTTGTAATTGATAATCATCGATATAATTTCTTTTGTATGCTACTTCCTCAATGCAACCAATATTAATACCATTTTCTATTTCCATTGAACGAACAAATTGTGAAACATCATTTAATGATTGAAATGTTCCCATGTCAAACCAAACTACCGTTTTATCTAATTTTATAACTTGTAACTTATTTTGTTGAAAATATGCCTTGTTGACATCTGTAATTTCATGTTCACCTCTATGTGATGGTTGTAAATTTTTTGCTATATTTATAGCATCATTATCAAAAAAATATAAACCAGTTATTGCATAATTAGATTTCGGATTATTCGGTTTTTCTTCAATAGAAATAGGTTTATCATTATGATCAAGTTCTACAATACCGTAACGATGAGGATCGGATACTTCATAAGCGAATATATAGGCTCCATCAGCATTAGTTAATTTTTTTAGATGACAGCTGAGATCAATACCGTAAAAGAAATTATCACCAAGGATCAAAGCAACATTATCATTACCAATAAATTTTTCTCCTATAACGAGTGCTTGTGCAATTCCATTTGGTTGGTTCTGGAAAGCATATTGAAAATCACATCCGAGTTGTCTACCATTTTCTAATAATCTTTCGTATTGATCATAATCAGTTGGTGTTGTTATAATTAAAATTTGTTTTATATCAGCCATCATTAATACAGATAAAGGATAATAAATCATCGGTTTATCATATACTGGTAGAAGATGTTTTGATATAACTTTTGTTAAAGGATATAAACGAGTGCCTAAGCCACCCGCAACAATAATACCTTTCATGAAGAATTCTATTTGAAAAGACATTTACTTATTAATAAAGTGCTTTATTATTGAAGATTAATCAGCAATTGTATTAGAAAAAAAATCATGTCTAATCCTTTTATCATAAAGAGAAAAATAACATGTTTTTTTTTATTCTAATACGTTTATTTTTCCATTATCCTTCATTAGATTGATTACTTTAATCAAAATGTCCTTGGAAGTAATTCAAAATAAAAAGCAACGCCGCATATGTATACTTAACACTATACAGGTATGTCACAAGCAAATAGAATCCGAAAAAAACAATATGCGCTAATGAGAAAAATAGTTAGTACTCAGATACAGTATACCATCCGCTCACAAGAGAAAGCAGTCAAGTAGATTTTCATTAGTTTTTCGGGTTAAAACATTATATTATACATAAGAAAATAACTGACATCGTTATAGTCATTTTTTAATGCAGTGTGAAGCACAGCATTTGTGTAGCCAGTCGCGAGTTCTTTTTAATTTTAAGGTGCGAAGCACTTCTTCTTACTTTTTAGCTCGACGTACGCATCACACTTATCATTTAGTTACGCGATGATCTCGAGAAGTAAAAATCAGACCATAGCCGATGAAACGCGAGATGCCAGTATCCAGATCGAACCGATAATATGTTTTGAGCTCATCTCGAAAGCACCTTTGAATTTCTCACAAATCACTTCCAAAAATGACAAATTTTTGAGGACTTCATTTTTTTTATTTTGAGATAATTAAAACGAAAACGAAGAGAAAAGTTAGGCGCCATTATCTTTCTTCGTTTGCCAAACAGCTGTAATCACAGCTGATTATAGATAATGAATCATATAGATAATTAAACAATCAATCGAAATCGTCCTTCAGAAAAGTGTTCATAGGCTTTCATAGAGTTCTCGTGGCGATGAATTTTGTTATGGTTCTTCTCAATTTTCTCACGGCTTATATCAGCTGACTCGTGAAAAAGAAATTTTTACGAATTCGGATGATACAGAGAAGTGTCTACATTCGGTAGTCTGTACACAATTGAACTATAAATGAAGATTGCTATTATGTCAACAGTTGAATTTTCGTTTTCTACGAAATACCGTTTTTTCGAAAATTCGAGAGATTCGTGCTTCTCACCGCATTTCGTATTCGAGTTGAAACTCGAATACCATCTAGTATTGGGACTTTTTGTTGTGAAATCACAACATTATCACTTATAGAGCCCTGCAGATTATAGATAACCTGTCCTGCTCGGCCAGGGCAGGGCAGGGCAGGTTGCAGGTTATGTATGTCGCAACCTGTCAACGTGCGACAAATTTTGTATATCAAATATTGTCAACATCTTTTCTAAGGTTATACATAAAGAAAAGAATAGAAGTAAGATGATAACCAAATTAAACCGTTTACAAAAATATTTAAGAGAAATAGAAGTGTCTCCATGGACGTATAAATCCAAAATAATTCATGACTTTCGGGAATTTTATATCAAAAACACGAAAAAAAGGCAGTTTGACTGGTGAAATGGACATAAAAATTGATGTATTTGAGATCCGTTAATTAAAAGAAACATTTTAATAAAGCAAATGTAATAAATTTGTTTTTTAAAATTATGGAATTATATTAATGAAAGTTTCATTTTTAATCAATGAATCTGAAAAAACATCAATTTTTATGTTCGTTCCGTCATTCTCATAAGTTTCTTGATTTTTCTAGTCCCAGGTTCTCAAAACTATTCTTTATACATGTAGCCACTCAAATGTAGGTTGATTTTTCTAATTTTGAGTTGTACCTTATACTTTTCTACATTTTCATCATCAACGAATCTCTCAAATATCATCAACAATATTAGTCAGATTTTCATGCTTGTAAAATATCATTTATGTCACATTCAGAAAAAGATGTTGAACGAAAAAAGAAGATAATCATTTACTCCAGATGGTGTTATTGATATTTTGATGATTAGAAATTTTCAGGATATGTAGCATTGCTTTTTTTGCCTTACTTCTGAGATAAAGTGGGCGAAATTGCATATACAATGGACATGAAAGTTCCGATCTTTCTATAGTGTCAGACAAAGCAGGGCAGGGCAGGTTACAGGTTGCCAGAATCTCAGCAGGGCAGGTTACAGGTTGTCAAAATACTTTAACCTGCAGGCCTCTAATCACTTACTACAAACAGATAGATAATGAGAAATGAACATACAAAGAATGATCTACTAGCTAATGTGGATGACTCATCCCAGCATTTTTAAAACGAATCCATTGATGCACTTTTTAGGTCATTTTTGTAAACTAGATCAATTCTAAAAATTATTTTACACAGAAAAAATAGCCATAGCTTACAACATTGTAATATAATATTTTCATTTTGGCCATTTTTATTTTATGTATTTTATTAGTTTTATTGACTAGCGTCATCTTTACACCCTTGCATGGAAATCTTTATCACATCGATAAAATTTTTTTATTAAATTTTTGTAGACAAAACTAGTTCACTGATTATAAATGAAATACTTTGAAAAACTTATTTAATATTTTGTTCGAGTTCATTTAGTTTTATAACAGACAAAATCAGAAATCAATGCTTTTTTAATTTGCTTTTTTTTAACAAAATAATTTAATTTTAGCATGGAAAAAACTATTCTTATAACTGGCGGAGCTGGTTTTATCGGTTCACATGTAGTTAGATTATTTATCAATAAATATACAAATTATCACATAGTAAACTTTGATGCATTGGCTTATGCTGAAAATCTTGAAAATTTGAGAGATATAGAACATAAAGAAAACTATACTTTTATCAAAGGTAATATGAACCAGAGTGATTCTGTTGAAGATGTATTTAATCAATTTAAAGTCGATGGGGTTATCAATTTAGCTGCTGAACCTCATGTTGATCGATCTATTAGCAATCCAGATTGTTTTATTCAAACGAATATTGCTGGTACTGCTAATTTACTAAATATTGCTCAAAAATCGTGGAAAGATAATTTTTAAGAAAAAATTTTTGTATCAAATATCAACTGACGAAGTTTATGGATCTCTTGATGACACAGAACTTTTTACAGAAGCTAGTCCATATAATCCACAATCACCATATTCTGCTTCTAAAGCAGCATATGATCATTTCGACAAAGCCTATGGAAATACTTATGGTATACCGTTTGTAATAAGTCATTGTTCGAATAATTATGGACCAAATCAATTTCCAGAAATATTCATTCCACTCATAATTAATAATATAAAAGAGAAAAAAATATTACTCATATATGGAGATGAAAAGTATACTCGAGATTGGTTATATGTGATTGATCATGCTAAAGCTATTGACATCGTTTTTCATGAAGGAAAAAGTGGCGAGAATTATAATATTGGTGCTTTTAACGAATGTCAAAATATTCATTCAGTTATGTTACTATGTCAAATAATGGATGAAAAACTCAATCGAAAAAAAAGAAAGCTCAGCAGAATTAATAAGACATGTAACAGATCGACCAGGGCATGATCGGACATATACCATTGATGCGATAAAAATCAATAATGAACTTGGTTGGTTTCCATCTGTTAAATTTGAAGAAAGTTTAAATCAAACTGTGGATTGGTATCTTAATAATCAGTCGTGGTTAGATAATGTTAAACATGGAATATATCAATCTTATTATCAAAACATGTGTTAATCTTTTAGACACAAGAAATCAGCATAATTGAAATTTTATCTAAAATTTGAGTAGATTATTACGTATATTGTTATAGACAATATTCATCATAATTTTAAAAAGAATTAATGGAACAATCACTTAGTAAATCATCTTTATGAATATTTTTTAAATTGATAACTCATTATAAAATCCGACATTTTAGCTTTTAGCATTAACATTGCAAACACATTGAATCGAATAATGTTTAAAAAAAAAATAGCAAATTTTATGTCTTATAAGGTAAATGTTGGACCGAACGTCAGTGAGATATATATTCTTTTTTTCTATTCGATTGATTACTAACAACTAAAAATGATCCATGCATAAATAAATATTTCGTAAGATGTACCAATACAATAGAATATTTCGCAATATGAAAGTGAAATGGCTCGATCTAATACTTTTCATGGTATTCACAATATAACTATTTCATTTTCAATATGATTCCAATTTTCTCCTCGACCTAGACGATGATCGACAAACTGGATCTTGACATTACTAAATCGACTTATACTATTGTCAACACATAGAAATTGATCACGAGTTTTGCTAATTATGCATTGGCATTGGAAAGAGAGCAACATATGACTTGTCATTGAATTTTGCAATCAACGATATTAATTAAGGTACTTTTATCAAGTGCTTTGACGTCTCACTCTTAGTTGTTTGTTAATATTATACAGAATATTTCTGCACATCTTTGATAATCTGTTTTTTTTTTGAAAAATCATCTTTAGCTCGATGATTCATATATATTACTTTGAGGTTTGCGAGCAAAATCTTTTAAAAAAGAATCATCCATGACGCAATTTTCATTGCATGAATCCTTTGTTGACTAGATGGATGGGAATAAGAATAGATTTTTTCAAATTATTTAGAAATCACTACATAAAGCGTTGCAAGAATGAACGACGTGATGAAAAATTAGTAACGAACCGAATTGAATAAAATCTCCAACAATAAATTTTGAATGAAAGAATGCGTCCCATATTTACAGTCATGTGTTTAAAAGTATTTCACCATGATGATAAAAACTTGTCAGTGCGGCTTCTTCTGGGGCTAAAGTGTGGAACTCACGAATTCTGGCTGTCATAAATTTTTAATATGTTGTCAAAGCGTTGAAAATAATGTATTCTAAAAAGATGTCGAATAATTATTATCTGGCCTCGTAGCGACCCTTTGTAAAAATATAAGATTATTTAGGACTTGAAAGCTTCATTTATATAGGATTACCTATTCCTATATAGGACATTTATAGGACATCAATTTTGAATTAGTTTCAACTCTTTTTAGTAGAAACTTATTGGAAAATTAATTAATGCAGTGATAAAACCGAGAGGTGCAGACTTTCTCAAACATCTTATCTTATAAGTTAAGTAAAAATAATACAACAATATACTTTTTCTGAAGAAAAATAAAGGTTGTTAAGTTAAACTTATTGTCAAGTATCATATAGCTGGTGCACCAGAAGTTTCGCGACATTTTTTATTTCGCATTATCTCGGCGTAAGTAGAGGACATAATCTTGAATTTTTTAAAAAGATGCGCCTTGGAAGCTGTACAAAAATGGTAGGAACAAATCTTGGTTAACTTATACTAATAGTTCTTTCCATACTTAAAATGAAAGACGTCTATGATAGTGCTGCGGGTCATCGTAATGAATATGACTAAAAAAATTTTTAGAAGAATTTTTTATTTTCGATGTATCTCGATGAGGAAAAATGATAAAAGCTAAACTTTTTTTAAAAAGATACGCTGACAAAAACTCTACACAAACCCCATGTACGGATACTTGTTAGCCTTTTGTAATTATTTTTCTATGTAATTAAAAGTGAAGATCTGCGTGAAGTAGATTTCTGATGTCCCAAAGCTTTTGCAGAATTCTCTATTTGTATTGTATCTCGCCATAGATAAAATATCAAATTTGATTTTTTTTACAGATGCACTAGAAAAAGGTCAGCAGAATGCGACAGAAAATTTCTCTTGACTTTTCTGACGGTTTTTCTCGGACTTAAAATGAAGAACCAACGCTATATTGATATTTCTGACCTTATTAAGCACGATAAAATATTTTGGAGAAATTTTTTATTTTGCAAAAATCTCGACATAGGTAAATGATCAAAACTTAATTTTTTTTTTAAAGATGCGCTATGAAAAGCTCTACACAAACTGTATGAATAGATTCCTATTGAAAAAAACAGAACAAAATTTCAAACGCTTTTATCATGCTCGATGCGACGGTCTGCAACACTAACACAGACGTCTTTCATTTTGAGTATGAAAAGGACCATTGACATAAGGCAACCAAGATTTATTATTATCATCCTTGTACGGCTTTTCGAGGCGCATCTTTTTTAAAAAACTCAAGATTATATCCTCTACTTACGCTGAGATATATACAAAATAAAAAATGTCGCAAAACTTCTGGTACAACCTGTATATGTGCCGCTATCATTCACGCAAATTGTTACATCTATTAATTAAACTCTTGAAAGTAGGCTAACATCAAGATTTTCAGCAGTATACGACTTTTCAAAGAGAAACCTTCCTTTTTTCGAAAAATATGGGAATATAGGAAATTTTAGAAAAAAATAGGACATTATAGGACTGATTCCAAAAATATAGGAAATATAGGGAATATAGGACGACTACAAGGCCAGTTATTATTCATAGGCGCGCTCTGAAATTTTATCATTTCGAATATTTTCACATTTATAATTACTTTTCTAGCAATTTATTTGATTCATTCAACATCGTTATACTGTAAAAAAATTATTTGTATTATTTGATACATCTTCAATTCACAGTTTCTTTTTTCGTAATGATAACAAATCTCCGGTACATGCCATAGAAAGTGACAAATGTTATTCTGCTCTTCATCTCTTTCTCTCGACGAGTGTTGATACATATCACTGAGTCTTTGCCTGAAATTAGACTACACTCAGTTCAGTTTTTTCTATTTCTGTCCGAATCGGACTCTACTATATTAAAAAGATGACGGCTCTATTGATTAAAACCTACGATAAGGTTCTTTCGCTGCATAAAAAGCCCCTAAAACTGCACTATTTAGACTTAACACTTAGAATCTACGAAGTTTTAGAATGATCTAAGCACTGATATTACTTAAACGCCATTTATTGTTGCTAGGACCTGTGGAGAGGAGTTACTAATGTCTGTAATGGGGGCCTAGAGGAGGAGGGAGAGTGCCGCCAAAACTTTGATTTAAAACTTACATTTACTATTTTTTTCGAAAATATCTGTGAGTTTCACAAAATCTTGCTAGATGATTTGATCATTAGTATCAGAAAAACGCTCAAAAAAGTCTTTTACGCATTTTATATAAGGATCATTAGCATCGATATCGAACATGAATATAGTTACTACCAATTGAAAACATTTATGGAAATGGATACAGCTGCTCTTTTAATAAGTGTGTGAATGTGGGTATGGTATAAGAGAAGATTCCCATCCACACCGAGGGTGTGGGTGTGCGTGCACGTGTGAGTGTGTAGGTGCGGGTATAGGTGTAAGTTGAGAAAAGATGAATCCATACTGACACCGACACCCACACCCAAATTTGTAACTTTTATACTGAGAAATCGGTTTCTATTACTTATAAATAGTTAAACATTACTTGAAAAAGCATCTTTTCGATAGTATTTGTCAGAATATATATTGTGCGATGCAGTTTTACGTACGGCATCAATGTCACGCACATACTAAGGAATACTAAGCCTCTGTTCTTTTTCTCGACGTGCATGAGTCACAACTTGGCTTTTTCTCTCTGAATCAGATTGTATATGACGTTTTCAATGTATGTTCTCTCTCGCGTAAAAAAAACTACGCGTAATTTTTAGTAATTAAACATTACAATACAATTATCCGTTTTGAATGGAAACTTGCATAGTTTGCGAAACGCTACCTTATGAATTAATATTACTCATATGCCAACATATTCTTTTCAGCGATATTAGAGACAAACTGTTTGATTCTATTGCAGCAGAGATCGTGAATCATATCGTCCTTGCAACACAATTGTTTGTGCTCAACGAAAAATAGGAAAATATCATATCCAACAAATTGCATTCCCTTTTTTTTATTTTAAACTATGTTTAATGTTTTTTTCAACTTGTCAAGTAAATCTACGGCAACTTCCAGGTCAATGAGCTGATTCTTTTTTGAGAATTCGGCCCTTTTTATATCTGAGAAATTTGAAGGTCATAGGCTCAAGTTGTTTTGGAAGCGAACTGTTGAGAGAGTTCTCAAGACAGGGACTAATATGAATGGCATTCGGAATAATATGGGAGTCGTCGGAGTCCTCCCTCATCCACGTCCACACTCAATTTTCTTGTTAAGCAGCTTCTAGCATATTCATCGATTTCAAAAAAAACAGAGAACGCATTGATAAGGAAAATTGCAACAATAGAATTATTTTGCAATGCTTCAAGACAAGAAAATGATGACACGAAATCATAAAAACAAAATAGGTAAGCTTCAGACAATTTTCTATCGAGAGACAACCGCTGTTACCTGATCAGACAGACAGGACACGTTAAAAAGAATGCAAATGCACTTATTTTAAATCTTCATTTTATTTGAATCAGACGTTGAAGCCCTACAATGAATGTTATCATCTTCATAACAGTATCAGTAAGGTATTACAAGAAGTTGATGCTTCTGATATCTGGCTCTTCTTCAAAGGAGTAGTCTAACTAGAATTGGTACTCGTCGCTTGTTTTGACTCATTGAAAGTTGAAAGAGTGCCGTTGCCGTTGTTACACATCTGCAAAGAAAAGAAAAAGGAGAAAAAAAAAGAAGTTGCTAGTGTTACGATGGAAGAAATGAATTCTTCCTTCTTACCGTCATTCCGTAATAATGTTGTGTCGAGTAAGCAAAAAAGAAATACTTCTACGTATCAGTAGTATTGTTGGATTTTTATTAAAATGTTTACCATCATTTTTTGAATAACTTTCGATCGTTTATAGCTATCGAAGTCGGATTTTCACCATGTCTTCATGGATATTTTGCGATTAACATTTTTTTCATTACTCATTTTTATAAAGTCTAAGCTCTAATTATCAGACAGCAACCCATGTAGATTTGCACTGCATCACTGAATGGTTATGCCTTTTTTATATCTCTGTGCATTGATTCCTTACACTTTCTTGCCGGCAAACAGTCCATAGGAGATGACTAGAATATCTCTAAGAAAGAACTGATATTAGAAAAAAAAACATGAAGATCAAACAGCTCAGATTAGAAAAGATTGTACTAAAGCAGAGTAGTTTTAAAAGCCTGTTGGTATTCATGCAGAGAATAATATTTGTTTTAGAACTGTAGTCATGGTCTTGTTCTGTTCTGTTCGATACATAAAAGGGAGCATCTTAAAATCAGTTTCTAAACTTAGAAATAGGTTAGAGGATCATTTCATTGTAATTTGACATAATGAGAAGTAGTCGAAAAATTAATTCAGATCGAAGTCAAAGTTTTAATGATATCTATAAGAATATATTTTATATTTTCAGTCAAAATAAAAGAAGAAAAAACAACAACAAAAAGTCGAAAGAAAAATGCAAGAGAAATAGAGTTGGTACTATGTGATGAATTATTCTTGTTAATTGAAATGAATAATATATTATTCATGTTTTAATAATAACAATGTCGTGGTTTATGTTCGACTATTTACCCGTGGAGATGTTACATGCCATTTTTGATTATTTTTGGACTAATGAAATACTTCATTCTTTTCTAAACATAAACAACTATCTTGATAATGTCATATGGGGATATAATAATTCTTTTCTCAACTTTAATTCAATTCCCAGACCATTATTCGATCTCATTTGCCGTCGTCTTCGACCGGATCAAGTCATCTCACTCGTGTTGTCGGACAATAATGATACACCAGGTCAATCTCAATTATTTTTCTCACGATTTTCTATCGAACAATTTAAAAGTCTACGTGCACTCACACTGATCGAGATCGACGATGATAGTCAATCAATTTTTGCTGATCTCGATAAAATAGAATGTCTTAATTTTCTTGAAACTAACCCAAAATATCATGATTCATATCTCAATATTATGCCTAAACTCACTCGATTCGTTGTAAAATATCAGTACGTTGTTTATTTTGAAAGTACCATGTTTATCACTCCAATTCAATTGCCTCGTCTACGTCATTTAACTTTAAAATACTGTTCATATTTTCAACTCGAACATATATTTCGTTACGCTCCAATGCTTATTTCGCTCAATATTTCAATTATTTTTTGCACTCATGATGGGATCGGTGACTTTGCTAACGTCAATAATGGAAAGCCATCACTTGGTCTCACTAGTCTCACTCTATCGGTTGACGTGTCTAGTAAGTAGCAAATGATGAACCAAGAAGTTTTTTTAATTTTCGAACTTATACGATCGTTTTATAATTGAGTGTTTCGTTGTACGATTAGGCAGAACAATTTCTCGTTTGTACTTCTGTTTTGTTAATGCCTGCTCTTGAATTTTAGAATGAGAAACGTTTCAATTTTAATTTTGAGACTCTTAAGAAACTTTGATTATATAAGTTATGATACAAAAAAAATACCTAATTATCTTTTATGGGCAATTGTAAAACCATGAGAGATCGATTTTTAGAAGTTCAATTGTGAACTTTTTCTTTTTAAAATATGCTTCTAGAGAGTTGTTCAATCTATATTTCTTCATCGTTAGACGTGTAGCATGTATTAACTAAATCATATATTCAATCGAAACGACGCTGTTCGTAGGTTGGAGATGCATTTCTGGAAAAAAATAAAGAAAATTGGGAACGGCAAAAAAGCTAAAACGAGAGGAAAATGTTTGCTCTAGTATATATTTCAAAAGTGTCGGAGTCTATTTCCCTCAGTAGTGGAGCATTGTATCCATCTAATTTTTGCTTAATTACGGAGCAATGCTTAAAATATATTTGCAACATGGTTTTTCAATACTTTCCGTCACTCTGTTTGTAATCTCACCTGTTCCAGAATTTTAACTAAACACGATTAGAATATAGAACTTTATAAGTCGTATAAAATCATCTATTTGAACTATTTTTTGATTATATTTTAGAACAGAAAATGCTTTTCTTATAATTCTCATTTCGTTAGAATAACAATTTTATCAAAACTGTAAAGTCAAAGAGAAAAAGAAATACAAAGAAGTTTGAAAAAGTGAACGAAAACTATTGCTCATTTAAGAAAAAAATGAGCGGCTATTTGATGAATAACTATTGATAACAGCAAGATCGAAAGCTGCCATGTTGGAACGAGAAGATGAAGACACATGGAATCATGTATGATAGATTTTCTAAAACTTTTTCTACAAAAAAATGACTGGAAAATTGATTTCTTGTAACATAAGAAAAGCACAAAAAGTCACCCTTGAAGGCTAGACCCTTGTGCAGTCTGTAAATCTTCTATTAACGGTTCAATTGCACATCTCAGTATTGAAGATTCACTTAAGTCACCTTACGGAGTACGTTGGTTTAAGTCCTTGAAAAAACTAGATCATATTATCCTGTAATATACTGTTCGATGGATCTTCATCTCCTCTGTCTAGCGGTGAAAACCACAACTCTCTATCTTGCTGTTATCAAAAGTTATTCAAAAAAAATACTCATCCACCTTTTTTTTTAAATGGACAATAGTTCAAAATATATGTCATGGTTACATATTTTATATATAGAAAATTGATTTTCCAGGCGAACGACGGCTCTTTAGCAAAAAAATATAGTACCAATAGTATATGTGAGAAAAAAAACACTTGAAATACAAAATTATTCTAAACAATTTCTTTTGAGTTATTAGTATTTATCGAATAAATATCGTTTCAGTTCAAAAATGATTTCACAAATCGAGAGGTTCCCTCATATGTTTTGGCATTAGGTCGAAAAAAAGAATATCATATTGTGTTTAACTTGTAGGGGGACTTTTCAATGTATTTTTCTTTATTTAAAAGGAAGGTTGGGTAGACTCAACCAAACATGGTCAATATAGAATTGTATTTTTAAGTTATTGAAAAAGGAAACAGAAATTTTTGTATTTCGAAATGAATAGTAGTAAAATCCTGCAAAAATCTTGTCCCATATATGATCTAGCATTGAGACTGAAAAAACAAAGCATAGACTATTTCGATAAATTTAATTCACGCTTGTCATGTATTTAGCCACGCAATTGTACACTTTTTTTTAATGTTCAATGTATTTATATTAAGTTTTCATAATTGGACAGTGCTTTCTAATGATGATAAGTGTAACTTACCGAAAGTTCGTAAATAATTATAAGATTTTTCGTTGAAAATTCTTCGACATGCCTATCCAACTGTTCTTGGTGCTTTTTCAGGTGATTGCATCCGTTCCAATTCAATTGTTTCCCGTATCCACTTAGAACGATTTCTGTTTCACATGCCTCGTCTACGACGACTTGAACTCGTTGTTAACTGTGAGGGAAACTGCAATCTTGGTTATGGTGATCGATGGAAAATATTCATACTTGAACGACTACCATTGCTTACAACATTTAATTTCAAGTTTAAGTTGGAACATGTATACCGTAATGAAGAGACTATACTTTATCATTTTCGTAATCCATTCTGGCTCGATGAGAATCGACATTGGTTTGTAGCGTACGATCATCGTCGTTCCGTTCTATATACAGTACCGTATTTTGCTCCTCGTTCTATTGTATACTCTGAAATTCCAGTACTCCCTCATGCAATGACATTACCTATTGGACAGTATGCCATATTTTATAATATGATTAACGAACTTAGATTCGATTCAATAAAAGAAGAACCATTTTATCGTTATACACAAGTAGAAAAACTTGTGCTCATCAGTCTTAATATCAATGAGGCATTAATTGATCTTTCTCGAGTACAATCTATGTGTGTAAATTCATCTTCATGGTCATTAGATATGATTGTTCCACTCATCCGACATTCAATGCCTCGTCTCAATCAACTCAGTCTCAATTGTATATTTTCTTTAAAATGTTCAACTTCCATTATTCCTCTAAAACAGATTCGAATTCTAAATATGCCTTTCTTTGCATACTCATCAAATAATGAGAATTCTGACTGGACTCACCTTTTTTCAAATATCGAACGATTATCGATCACAGTGAATAGTTGTCATGAACTGACTTTTTTAATTGATCGATTCAATAATTTGTCCTATGCTTTATTTATTGTTAATAACTGCTGTATTAATGTGAGACGAAATTTCTGGGAACCTAGAATAACACGAGAATGGCTTGTCGAAAATACACGTCGTTTGGCAACATTAGGCGATAACGATTTCACTTGCAGATTTGACAATAAAAACATATTTACAGTGTATTTATGGATCGGTGAGGATGGCAAACAACAAAGTAATGTATGTCATAGAAGCTCGCTGTATTCTTGGTAATCGTATATATATTACTCCTTTTAGTTGTCAAATACAAGAAGAAGTAAAAGCAGTAATTGTTGGCTCAGCTGCTTGCCACTGTGTACATTGAAAAGCAAAAAAACATGATGTATTCGAAGGACTATAAGTCATCCGCATCCATAGAAATGTGTACAAGTAAACACTTTTTTTAGACTGCTCTTTTGATGTTGATTTCATTTATGTCTGTTTTTCTTGTGAAGGCATCAATCATTCTATTAATATATTATTTTTAACTTGTGTTGATGGGCAGCGAGCTGTATGCAAATTACTTATCTCACGCAATATAATTTCTTAATGTTGTTTATAATCTCGCCTTGTCAAACATTTCATCTAATATTTAAATAAGCTTCCATATTGTATGAAGAATGATCTACTTAATATAGCTGCCCCTTATCTGACAAGAAAAATAACTAACCGGTGCGCCATAAATGATGGCATCATTAGTATTTGACTCCTATCTGCCTTGTTATCTTGACTATTCGATTTCGTTCTTTCTTTTCAAAAGATTTTTTATTTAATTCTGTACAGAACCGTATAACTTTAATACAGTTCATGTGTTGCATCATTTGTTTAGATAATGAAACGTGAAAACTGTCAAAAAATTGTTTTTTCTAAAATCGACAACAGGGAAGACTTAAAAGAATCTTTTGAGACAAAACACGTCCACACCCATAGGTTTAGTTCTCCAACTGGGTACGAAACAATCGACGAAAAGAAGATAAGAATTTTTTTTTTAATTTTGAATCGTATGTGGTCGTTCAAGTGGTGTTGAATGATCAAAATAGTCAGTTTTGGAAATAATCTTGACCAGATTTGATTGTTCGAAGACCTACGACGTCATTTTTGTCTCGAAAGAAAATCATTTAACCAACAAACTATATTATAGTCATATGGTTTTGTACAGAATTAAATGAGAAATCTTGTAAAAATAAATGAAATGAAATAATCAAGATAATGATGCAGATAGAAGCCAAATACTAACAGTGCTATTATTTATGGCTCACCCAGTACGTCGAACAACGCATTTAAATGCAAGATAAGACAAAAATAGATGAGATTTTTGAAGTTTTATCAAAATGTATCATTACTGTTGTAAAGATTTATTTCGATGGAAACAATAATTTCAAACATACTCATTTACGCCAAGAAGAACAAAAAAAAGGAATTTATTATATGTCCAATGAGTGAATTTTTTTCTTTCATTTTTCCGTGTTGTAATTATTCAAAAGTGTTTGCGAAAAATTTGAATAATCCAATAGTACATAGTTATTCATTGTGGTTTGTATTTAATCTAACTGAATGACAAAGTTTTGTTTATTTTTTTTAATAATATCTGTTAAATAGGAGAAGAATTGGTAATAATCAAAGTAAAACAACCAAAGTAAATGGACATTCAAAAAGCACTTCTAAATGTCCTTCGATCGAATTGAACCAGTACAAAAATCTCATTTTTATGGGTAGATGAAAAGACGACGCATACGCTTAAAAACTACAGACACCATAACTAATGTCCGCGCCAGAATAAAAGAGGGGTGAGTGTAAGCTCAATAACTCGACAACCGCAATACCTAGCTACCTGCGGTTTTCACCAATCGAAAGAGGAGGAGCGGGCACGTCTTTTT